GGGGGGGTTGAAATAGAATCAAAAGTCTACAGCATCGGGGTGGGGCATCAGGCCAGGGGCCAGGGGCATGGATGGGAATGGTATGATCTCGTGGGACAGGAAGAAATGTACACCTTTTGTTTTTCTCTTCAGAAGACACGAACACGGCCAATTATGGTAAGACGTGGAAGACATGGTAGTTTCGCGAAGAATGGCGTTTGCAATGCGTTTGCATTAATAGGAAGGACTATTCATATCACATTGACCAAGGATTGAGAACCTCCTGAACCTTGCGTGAGCAGCTGGCAGCTGGCGGTCCACCACCCGTTCCTTAAAAAATTGGTGGCCTTTCTGCCCCCCAATTCAACACATGACCCAGAAATGTCCAATCACTAACCCTATAGCTCCGTTTTCGTACCTCCGAAGCGGTTCGCTATGACTGGACCCGACGTTTTGGCACCGGGCCCCCAGTCCCACCTTCGAAACGAAGGTACGACTGGAGGCCAAAAGGGACAAATAATGGTGGGTTTGTTCTTGAGGTCTTCAAACTCTGGGAACTTCTGTTTTTGTCGTCGATCTGGGGGAAGATGCAGTTCCAGTGCCTCTTTCGCTTCGGTGACTTCGTGCAGGCCGAAGTGGAAGAGGCGATCGAAGTGTTGGTGGAAGAGGAGTTGGGCATGAATCCCTCCTTCGGAGAAGGCCACTGATGTGCTCGAGTTGAAGTTCCATCGATCGGACGTGTGGCTACACCACAACTGGCTCAGCCAACATGCAAGGCAAATCATTGTAACTGCCTTTCTTTTATACTTTCTAAATCAAATTTCAGGAGGAGGTCCTGGCCACGAACCCGTTGTTTTTTGCTATAAGATCTATAAGGCTTCTTTTATCCACAAAGAAGTTAACATAACGAGCTTCTACACAGATCTACTTCCCGAGAAAACCCCTCGTTCCAGGCCATTTGATCACTGGCACTTCTTCCACAGCCCGCCTCTGGCTCCCCAAACAGCACGCAGCAAGCGCGCCAGGCTTTGGAGAATGGGACTTCAGAGGACAACTCTTGCCGCTTGGGGGCGTAAAAAAACGAAACGAAAGAAAGGGATCTGAAAGGAATTCGAACGGACGGGTGAAGAAGTGAAGAAGTAGATCGCTCCGTGAATCTCCATGATCTTCTTCTTACTTCTTCGTTCTTCTTCGTTCTTCTTGTTACTTCTTCTTCTTGT